TTCGCTTCTCTTCTTTTCTCATTTCTCTCATCTCTCTCCTATTTTCTCTTCCCTTCTATCTCTTTGCTCGCTTTTTTCCTTCTTCTTTCCGGTTTTTACATTTTTCTTCGCGTTCACCTTTTCTCTCTTCCTTCTACATTCTCCTGTCCTTCTATTCTCGATTCTCCTCTTCCCTTTTAGCCCTGTCTTCTCTTTCATTTTCCTCCTTCCGTCTCTTCTTTCCTTCGCCTCTTCCCAGCTTTTCTTTTCTTCTCGTCTCTTTCATTCCCATCCTTTTCCCTTCTCCTTCCCTTCTTTCCTCTGCCTCTTTCGTATTATTCCTCTCCTCTCTTCCTTGCCCTCCTGTCTCCCTTTTCCTCTCTCCTCTCATCTGTTCTTCCCTCTTCCTCTTCTCTTTCCCCTCTCCTCTTTTTCTCCGCCCCTCGCCCCCCCCTCCCTTCCCTTTGCTCCCTTCTCTCTTTTTATTTCCCCGTGTTTCCTCTTGCATGCAACAACTCATGCAAGAGGAAACTGTTGCAAAGGGCCACGTTTGCAATCCCAAAGGACCTCGGTGTGATGCTGTTATGCTGTTTCGACTGACGGGCTCCAGACAGTATGCTGTTGGGGATTTTGAGGGGGTGGAGGGGGAGGGAGGGGGAGGGGAGGGGAGGGAGGGAAGCAGTTTGGAGAATTGGGGGATGGGAAGGAGGGAGGGGGAGGGGGAGGGGGAGGGAGGGGAAGGAGGAGGGAGAGAGGGAAGCAGTTTGGAGAATTGGGGGACGGGAAGGAGGGAGGGGGAGGGGGAGGGGGGAGGGAGGGAGGGAAGCATTTGGAGAATTGGGAGGTGAGAAGGAGGGAGGGGGAGGGAGAGGAGGAGGGAGGGAGGGAAGTAGTTTGGAGAATTGGGGGATGGGAAGGAGGGGGGGGAAGGAGGAGGGAGGGATGGGGTGGGATGAAGGGAGTTCGGGGTTGGGTGGGGTGGGGTTAAGGGAGGGAGGGAGGGGATGAAGGGAGGAAGAGGAAAAGACGGGGAGAAAGAGGAGGGGAGGGAGGGAGAGACAGACTGACAGACAGGCAGACAGATAGATAAATAGACGGGCAGAACGAGACGGAGGGAGAAAGGGATGGAGTGAGAGGGTGGAAAAGGAGAGAGAGAGAGGAGGGGGGTGAGGGAAGAAGGGAGGGAGGAAAGATAGGAATGGAAGGAGAAAAGGAAGAGGGAGAGGGAATGGGGGAAATGGAGGTGGCTGTGCAAATCTTTACCGATTTTTGACGCGTTTTTTGTCATTTTTAAGTTTTTTTTTTATATTCTCTATTTGGAAGAGGAAGAGAGAAAGAACGAAAGAGGAAATATGTACAGATCTACAGATTTTAAAAGTGTTGTTATTTGATAACTCTTTCTTTTTTCCCGTTTCCTGAAAATCGTTCACTATTTTTTTCTCTCTCTCTTTTTTTATGTAATTTGTTGATCTTCCTTCATCATCAGGGGATTATGCCTATCACTCTTTTTCCTGATATCGCTTTGAATTATTCGTCATTGTTATGGTGGGTTTAATCTCGGAAAAACAACGTCTGGTAACTCACTCCGCTCACCCCGGCCTCCGATTCGATTTATATATATAGTATTTTTTTTAATTATTTACATTATTTTGTTGTTGTTTTGTTTTTATTTCATATCGGAATTCTCCGGAGTCCAGGTGTGAGTTGCCAGTTTTTCCTTTCTTGGGATTAGATGAAGTATAGTATTTTCAATAAACTCAAAACCACTATGATTTCTTTTATTATTATCATCTTTTATTTTATTATCATTCCATTTCTGGTACTATTCGGAATTATTATTTGATCAATACTGTCTTGCGAGTAGCTAATTTTGCTGACGTCATCATCACTGACATCAACATCGTTATAAATTTGCTGACGTAAATAGTTAGCAATCATGGCCTGTGGTACTTTTAATAAATATTAAATGTTTTTTATCATTATCTCTTACTCATATATTCGTGTTTTCCTTTTCTTATTCCCTTTTACTATCATTCTTATATTTCATCTTATCATCATTACCAGTTTTAACATATTCCTCTTTCCTTTATCACTATCATCCCTCGCATTTTATTTTCTTCCCTCAGCGTCTACAATCTCTCCCACTGAAAATACCTTTTTTACTATTATTCCTTTTTGTTTTCACATTCTTTATCCCCTTACCACTCTTCCACTCGTTTCGTAAGCATATTGATCAGGACATTATAGGCAGCAAGAAGCATAATGGTCTTTGTCATCCATTTTCCAAAAGCAAACAGACACGCACCTTGTATCAACGCCTGATGAACGAGGAGTGAGAAAGCGTACAGTCTGTAATGGAACGAATGCTTTTACAGAGAGTGGAATGGGGGGGGAGGGAGAGGGAGAGGGAGAGGGAGAAGGAATGGGAGTGGGAGAGGGAGAGGGATAGGAAGAGGGAGTGGGAGAGGGAGAGGGAATGGGAGTAGGAGTGGGAGTGGGAGAGGATGAGGGAGTGGGAGAGGGAGAGGGAATGGGAGTGGGAGAGGGAAAGGGTGAAGTAATGAGAGTGGGAGTGAGCATGGGAGTGAAACTGGGAGAGGGCGAGGGAAAGGGAGGGGGAGGGAGTAGGAGAGGAAGAGGGAGAAGGAAAGGGACAGAGAGAAGGAGAGCGAGAGGGAGACGAAGATGGGGAGGGAGTGAGAATGGGAGAGGGCGAGGGAAAGGGAGGGAAGAAGGAGGAGGAAGCAAAGAGTGAAGGAATAAAAATGCAAGTCGGAGAGAAAGGGCAGAGTAGAGGAAACTGGATCAGGAAAGTGAGAAAGAGGGAAAGAGAGAGGGAAAAGCTTGGAGGGAAGAGAGAGAAAGGGAAAGAGAAAATGGAGAGACAGAGGGAGAAGGGAGAGAGAAGGTAGAAGAGAGGAAGTAGGAAAGCGCGGGGAGAGAAAGATTGACAAGGTAGAAGCCGATAAGTAGAGAGAAAGGAAGAGAGAGGGAAAAGGAGAAAAAAGGCAGAAGGGCGAAGTAGGAGTAGAGGGAAAAGAATGAAGGAAAGATAAAAGGAGAGGGTAGGAGAAAAGCATAGGGAAAAGGGCGAAAATGAGATTAAGGAATTATGGAAGAGGGAAGGGCAAAGGACTAACGGAAGTGAAAGAGAAAGCAAGAGAAGAAGAATGAAAAGGACGGGCAGAGGAAAGGGAAATGAAGAAGGAAAGTAGAGGGTGAAGGAGAGAATTAGGGAAGAGAGAGAGAGAGAGAGAGAGAGGAGAGGCAGACAGACAGACAGAGAGAGAGAGAGAGAGAGAGAGAGAGAGAGAGAGAGAGAGAGAGAGAGAGAGAGAGAGAGAGAGAGAGAGAGAGAGAGAGAGAGAGAGAGGAGAGAGAGAGAGAGAGAAGGAGAGACAGACAGACAGAGAGAAAAGAGAGAGAGAGAGAGAGAGAGAGAGAGAGAGAGAGAGAGAGAGAGAGAGAGAGAGAGAGAGAGAGAGAGAGAGAGAGAGAGAGAGAGAGAGAGAGAGAGAGAAAATCGGAGGAAGGAGAGAGAGAAGGAGAAAAAGAAAAGCAAGGAGCAAGAGGTAAAAGACTAAATAAAGAGAGAATGAGGAGAGAAAGAGAGAGGGGAGAAACACAAAGGGGAGGGGGAATTCTTCCAAAACCAATCTGACGCCTCCATTCCCACCCTCCTCCACACAAACAGGGAAATCCACCAAGATCCACTTCGTCCCGGTGAGAGAACTCTTCACGTCAGACATGTACCTGTCCTATGACGGATCGCTCACCGAGCCCCCCTGCGAGGAGACGGTCACCTGGGTCGTCCTCAACAAGCCAGGTTACATAACGGCGGACCAGGTGAGTGGCAGTGACGATGACAGTGACTGTGACTGTAAGACTGTGTAGTAGTCGGAGGGAGGGAGTGGCGGTGCTTGTTAGTACGACTGTAAATATAACTGTGATTGCTATTGCGACTACGACAGTGACTATCACTGTGAATATGACTGTGAACACGATTGTGAACTCTTACTGTGACTGAGGTAGAAGCAATAGGCATATTGCCACCGGGTGAGTGAAAATGATATTAATTATGAAAGGCTGCATGACAGTTGCAGTAACAAAGACAATGACTGAGACTGCCACAGTAGTGATAGCAGTGCCCACCGGGTGAGAAGGTGGAAAATATTGACTGCCTCACTGATTGTGATACTGGCAGTGACAGTGATCGCATTTCCACGAAGTCAATAACATTAACTATTGCAACAACAACAGTGATGACATTGCCACGAAACGAGAGACAGTGACAATAAAAGTGATCATACTGCCACAAGTAATGCCATTTGCAATCTAAAACAGCATCAGCTGATTGTGGCTTAATTACTAGGCGAGTGCTGACAGATATGAATGGTGATCGCTTGGTTAAAAATGTTTTATTTTGCGATTTGCCTCTCTCACGCAAGTGGATGGGGAGGTGCTCATCAATCTGAACTGAGACGGATGGGTAGGAATATAGATGGACGGACAGACAGAATACAGATGAATACAGACAGACATAAATCATGCATACATACATACATGCATTCATACATATATATAGAGAGAGATGTATACATAGATACAATGATTGATAAGTAGAGACACAATAGGACAGAGAGAAAGATAGACATAAATGTATACATACATACATGCACACACACACAGACACAAACACACACACACACACACGCACACACACACACACACACACACACACACACACACACACACACACACACACACACACACACACACACACACACACACACACACACACACACACACACACACACATACACACATACACACACACATACATACACGCACACACCTAACCAAACAAACAAACAAAAATAATAGACACGCAGAGATATAATGAAAAAAACATTAAAAAAAGACCTTTAGTCTCGTGTTAATAGGTTTTTCAGATGCCCATTTCAATACTTTTCAGCATTTCTTGTTTCAGTTATGGCAACTTCATTCGGCATTACCCATTTCAGTTATGGCAACTTCAGTCCTTACGTCGCGGGACGCACGGGCAAGCTCTTCCAATAACGGGGAACTTCAGACCAATTCAGCCCTTGCACAAGAGGGCTATAAGAACTAATATTCCTCCTTACACGCTGGTAAGAAAATTTGTCTCTCTTTTATCGTTCTCTGTACCGGTCTTTCTCTCTCTCTCTTTCTCTCTCTCTCTCTCTCTCTCTCTCTCTCTCTCTCTCTCTCTCTCTCTCTCTCTCTCTCTCTCTCTCTCTCTCTCTTCTCTCTCTCTCTCTCTCTCTCTCCTCTTTCTCTCTCCCTCTCTCTCTCTCCCTCTCTCTCTCTCCCTCTCCCCCCCCCTCTCTCTCTCTCTCTCTCTCTCTCTCTCTCTCTCTCTCTCTCTCTCTCTCTCTCTCTCTCTCTCTCTCTCTCTCTCTCTCTCTCTCTCTCTCTCTCTCTCTCTCTTCTTACCTCTTCTCCTTATCCCCCCTTTCTCCGTTCTCTTTACCCTCAAGTAATTAAACTGATTAATATTTCAGAATTTTGGAGGATAACATACGAAAGTTTATGTGAACGCGGTGTACGTATTAATTCATCTTCTTTGTTTACTTCCAGAAATGTTCTGCGCTCAACAGAACCAATCTTTATCAAGGTAATGGCGACGAGACGAGAGAGGGGCGAGGGAGGTAGGAAGGGAGAGGGAGAGGGAGAGGGGAAAGAGAGGAAGAGGTAGAAGGAGAAGGAGAGGGAGAGGGAGAAGGAAAGGGAGAGAGAGAGAGGGAGAGGGAAAGGGAGAAGGAGAAACGTTAGGAAGAGGGAGAGGGAGAAGAAGGACGAGAGGGAGAGGGATAAGGAGAACGAGAGGGAGAGGGAGGAGGAGAGGGAGGATGAGAGGGACGAGGAGAGGGAGAGGGAGAGGAAAGGGGGCGAAGACGGGGAGGGTGATTAGGAAGCAGAGAGAGAGAGAGAGAGAGGTAGGGAGGGAGAGAAGTAAAAGGGAAGTGAAAAGCAGGGGGAGAAGGAAAAAGGAGTGAGGCAAGCAATAAGAGAGAGAGAAAGAGAAATAGAGACAGACAGACAGACAGACAGATAGACAACCGGAGAAAAAGAAAGGGAGAGTGGTAGGAAGAGGATTGCGGGAGGACGAGAATTAGCAGGGAGAGAAGAAGATCAAAGAGGGAGGAAGAGGATCGGGCAGGAGAGGGAGAGTGAGAGCGAGAGAGAGGGACATGGATAGAGAGGGAGAGCGAGAGAGAGGGACATGGATAGAGAGGGAGAGCGAGAGAGAGGGACAGGGATAGAGAGGGAGAGCGAGAGAGAGGGACAGGGATAGAGAGTGAGAGCGAGAGAGAGGGACATGGATAGAGAGGGAGAGCGAGAGAGAGGGACATGGATAGAGAGGGAGAGCGAGAGAGAGGGACAGGGATAGAGAGGGAGAGCGAGAGAGAGGGACAGGGATAGAGAGGGAGAGCGAGAGAGAGGGACAGGGATAGAGAGGGAGAGCGAGAGAGAGGGACAGGGATAGAGAGGGAGAGCGAGAGAGAGGGACATGGATAGAGAGGGAGAGCGAGAGAGAGGGACATGGATAGAGAGGGAGAGCGAGAGAGAGGGACAGGGATAGAGAGGGAGAGCGAGAGAGAGGGACAGGGATAGAGAGTGAGAGCGAGAGAGAGGGACATGGATAGAGAGGGAGAGCGAGAGAGAGGGACATGGATAGAGAGGGAGAGCGAGAGAGAGGGACAGGGATAGAGAGGGAGAGCGAGAGAGAGGGACAGGGATAGAGAGGGAGAGCGAGAGAGAGGGACAGGGATAGAGAGGGAGAGCGAGAGAGAGGGACAGGGATAGAGAGGGAGAGCGAGAGAGAGGGACATGGATAGAGAGGGAGAGCGAGAGAGAGGGACAGGGATAGAGAGGGAGAGCGAGAGAGAGGGACAGGGATAGAGAGGGAGAGCGAGAGAGAGGGACAGGGATAGAGAGGGAGAGGGAGAGAGAGGGACAGGGATACAGAGAGAGAGGGAGAGAGAGGGACAGGGATACAGAGAGAGAGGGAGAGAGAGGGACAGGGATACAGAGAGAGAGGGAGAGAGAGGGACAGGGATACAGAGAGAGAGGGAGAGAGAGGGACAGGGATACAGAGAGAGAGGGAGAGAGAGGGACAGGGATACAGAGAGAGAGGGAGAGAGAGGGACAGGGATACAGAGAGAGAGGGAGAGAGAGGGACAGGGATAGAGAGGGAGAGCGAGAGAGAGGGACAGGGATAGAGAGGGAGAGCGAGAGAGAGGGACAGGGAGACAGAGGGAGAGCGAGAGAGAGGGAGAAGGATAGAGAGGGAGAGCGAGAGAGAGGGAGAAGGATAGAGAGGGAGAGCGAGAGAGAGGGAGAGGGATAGAGAGGGAGAGCGAGAGAGAGGGACAGGGATAGAGAGGGAGAGCGAGAGAGAGGGACAGGGATAGAGAGGGAGAGCGAGAGAGAGGGACAGGGATAGAGAGGGAGAGCGAGAGAGAGGGACAGGGATAGAGAGGGAGAGCGAGAGAGAGGGACAGGGATAGAGAGGGAGAGCGAGAGAGAGGGACAGGGATAGAGAGGGAGAGCGAGAGAGAGGGAGAAGGATAGAGAGGGAGAGCGAGAGAGAGGGAGAGGGATAGAGAGGGAGAGCGAGAGAGAGGGACAGGGATAGAGAGGGAGAGCGAGAGAGAGGGACAGGGATAGAGAGGGAGAGCGAGAGAGAGGGAAAGGGATAGAGAGTGAGAGCGAGAGAGAGGGAGAGGGATAGAGAGGGAGAGCGAGAGAGAGGGAGAGGGATAGAGAGGGAGAGGGAGAGGTGCTGGTACAGAGAGAGACAGGGATTAAGGGAAAAGGGAAAAGGCGTAGGAGAGAAAGTCAGAGCAGGGGGCAGAGTGAAAGGATAAAAAAACGAAAGAAAGATTAGAAAGAGGGAGAATGAGAGAAGAAAAAGGAAGAGAGAAAGAGGAGGAACAGACAGTGTTAATTCAAACCAGATGACTTTCTAATTTATTTATTTATTTATTTTCTTCCGGAAATGCGTATGATAAAAGAAGCTTTCTTGGTGATAGTGGAGTTACCCCTTAAGTACTATCACTACTCCTAAGGTATTATTATTATTTTTAACTTATGATCATCATTGTTATTATTATTATTATCATTATTATTACTGTTGTTGTTATGATCATTAATACTATCA